CCATTCATATACACACACTCTTTTGATTGTGACTTCGCGCGAATTCGGTTACGTTCTGTAACCAAGCTTGTATCCTGGCACGATCTCGGTATCCTTTCGATGCCACGAGATCGCCAGCGAATATATCTCAATTTGGTCCATTAACTGTCTTCTGATATTTGGCTCCTCGAGGATTTTATGGATTTATTTGGTTACGTCCAACCCTCGCCTTCTGATTTATTTGGCACGTGTTTCTCTGTAGCGGTGTTCATAGTTAATGTCAACGCGACGCCACGCTACAGATTATTTTCCTTAATATGCAGGTCATGAAACAATATGATAGAGTACAAAGTGATGAATGCCTTAAAGTAAGAAACCTTATTTCTATGCTGGCAAATAAAGAAGAAACTTAATTGAATAGAACGTTTTAGTAGTTTGCTTGAGATACTTTTGAAGTAAAGAATTATCACCGGTTGATCAATGTCTTCTCACTGGATAATTCAATCTGAAAATTCCAAGGACGATGTTGAACATGAGCGTTTTGTTACAAACCCATGTTGAGTAGAGCTGATTAGGCTTTCAAAAGTAAAAATGATAATGGCTAGTTGTGGATGATTGTTGTCTATGCTTCCTGATAGTATGAAGGCTAAATTGATGAGTATATAGTTGGCAATATCGCTAAGTGAATTGGTTTTCAATTTGTCGGTAATAAAGAAAATATTTCAAACAGATTTAGAGACTACATAATTCATGCATAGACTGAACCGTTTTAAACGAAATAGTGAAAATGTTCGTCTTCTGTAACTTAAAAATGGTACAGAAATACCATCAGGTTCACCACTACGAACAGTTTCAGTGTTTTTAAAGCCTACTTGATGCTGACAGATGTGAAACTGATCGTAGGCAGATGGTCGGAAATATGTTAATAGAGGTTTCCGTCTCTATATTTCAGCATTGAAAGAGATGATGGTTGAACTCTTCACGAACTAAGAACATCCATAATTTGCCGTGGTTGTATTGAGAGAACTCAATTTCATACGAAATTCGAGTAATTAAAGTATTGACAGGTCACGGTCTTCGCTGTCTTATTCTGTATTTTCAATAGTAAAAACATTTTTGTGTCGAGATGAATTATTATTGCTGCTGAAGCCCTTTTGCTTTTAGACTTTGAACGTTTAGCCATGCCAAAACGTGAAGAAATTCGTTCGATTTCAAATTAGTTATCACGGGCTTGCCGCCTTCACAAAGAATCCGGTGACACAATGAGAATTGTATCGTTGTTATACTTTTACTCTACAATAGTTTATGATACTTCATCTGAAAAACACGGACTATTTGTAACAATGTCGTGAAAAGAGAGATGTTTTGCTGACCTTCATGCTTTATTACACGTTGGCATCCGTGCCACCATGAAACTAATCTCAAAACAATTATTTTCGACTAAGATGAACAAAATACAATACGTCGGACAAGAAAATTCATAAACGGACGACTACAACATCTTGAAATTCAGTTCACCAGATCGTTTTTTTAAACATCTTCATATTAATTTAGAGGGTTTGGTAACCTAATGTAACATTTTCGCCCAAAATGTTATCTTAAAAGACCATTATACTAGGTAGCCAATCCTAAATCTTATAGACAAACTCTAAGGGAATATATATGCATTTATATTTTATTAGGCAAACATTTATATTTGCATAAATTAGTTGTTATTGTTGCCTGTCAGTATATTTACACAAAGGTAGTTCCTTTATCCGCGCAACTTATTTTGCCGTTTTGTTCAATGTTTAGGTAATTAATTTCCCTCCAAGTCACACAGCATCTGGGCCGTGTCTTTTCTTGTTATGTGGCATTTTATTTGTAACAACATTTATATTCAATATTTATGGATTATTTGTGTTGATTGTGAATGGAATTTTTTGATTAACTAATTGGTGTGTGCTTCATCTTTGTGTTCAAACAAATACTGCTTACGCCGTTTCTTTTCCCACTTTATTGGCAACGTCTAGTGATATTGGTACTAATTGTGATGAGCATAGTTATAAGTCCATTGGGATATGTTTTCTGCGGTTGCCGCGGAAGGGACTTCCGAATAACATTCAGCATATGAGTATTGTTACTAGTTGGTCATTCAGTATGCAACTTCTTTCTGAGTGTTATTTTTTACTGCTTCTTTTATCTGGATGTTGCTATTTCAGTTTGTTGTATTAATATTTCTTGCAACGTATTATTGTTTGAGGTTCCAATGGTTGTAGACGGAGTAGAAGAATTTTTCGCCTTATGGGCTTCCGTGTCTAGTAGAAGTGGAGCACCAGTACATCCTGGCAGGAATCTAGGTATATTAACGATAATAGAGGGAAAAGAAATTGGCAAGTCACAGTAAGATACTATCCTTAGACCCTAAGAATATGTCAGGTTTTCTCTTAAAGGCCTCCTGAGAAGTCGTTTCGACTAGCTCGTCTGGCAGAGGATTCCAGCATTTGACAACTCCTAAGGATTAGAAGTTGTGTCTCCAGTTTCTGGGTATTACCGCTTAAGTTTGCGTTGAAGCTGAACTTAAGTAGGTGTTTAAGGGTATGTTCAGAAGTGTTAGGTATTCTGTAAGCCATTAGAAGGTCACCTGTAGGACGCCTGTAATCTAATGGGTACTCCTTCACTGACTGGATAGACGTTTTTCAGTTTTTTATAGTGATAAGCATATTCACTTATTGACAAACTTCACGTAGAGTTTACCTCTTGAATCGTTATACATAATAAAGTTTCTTACAGACTGCTGAAAAAGGACAACAAATTACACTCAAATCTATATGCGTTATCCGGTGTCAGTGTAGCTATCTTGCTGACTTTATCGAAGACATATAAATAGATTCATTAGTCTGCCTTGGTCGGTCTTGTTAGAATTAGCTTGGTTCGTTCTTATCTACTATGTCACATATATTATCAGACGGTAAGAAGATTAATGATAAAGCAAAACTCTTTCTATTGTTGTAAGCGACTTTGGAACACACACAGCGGTCCTGTACTATTAAGGTAAACTCGATGCCAAATTGTGACCTGAGGTGGCTTTAATTAGTGGGGTATTATGAGAACGGTTATGTAAATATCAGTGGGTGGCCCAACAACTGTTGGAATTGTCTGCTGTGTCTTATATAACAGCCATGTCTAACACCCTAAAAACACCAAGATTAACTAAAATTAAAACTTGCGAAGAGCTTAAGTGAAAATCCAAACTCTAGTCAAGGTAATACTAGGTGACGTTTATGAATAATCCATGAGGGGCCAATAAGCATAGCTTCTGGCGATGGATGACCAGTGTGGAATTGCTTTAGCACCTTTGATCTTAGGAATTCGGGCACCACTACCCTATCTCCAGACATCAAGCATCCGTTTACGACGCATAATGAGTCCCGACGGTGGTAAAGCTGCTTCAAGTCACCATGGAGTCCAGTTGGCGGCCAGCCATTAGTGACGTATTTCATCGCTCTCTTTATGATGGAGTCGTTCTTGGATGCAGATTGTATTTCAGCTGCTGAGACTGGCAAAGCACGAATAGCCGTTGTCAGGTGGTTTTGGAAACATGGATCCTTCTAAACTTGAATTATTACTCGAGCAGCAAATGAAACTTATTCAAATGTTAGCGGGTACAAAGCTTACGTCTAATACTCAACCAAGCAGTTCCAGTCCTACTACTACTGCACCATCAGTTGATGGTATCGCTAACAGTATCTCCGAGTTTCATTACGATCCAGAATCCAATGTCGCGTTTGATATGTGGTTTCGACGTTACGAAGACTTATTCAAGTTCGACTTTGCTAATCCATTGGGGTTTCCCCGCGTGGGTTCGAATCCCATCCCCGTCGCCAAATTGTTAGGTTCGTTAACCTTGAGGATACTACTGATTCGACTTATTCGGAACGGAACGCGCTCAGGATTCAGACACTCAATAGACTATTCTGGTCCGTTGTCTTCGACCCAGCTAACTCGATCAAGAAGTCTTGGTAAGGCGTAGAAAGTGTATTCTACAAGCAACAGCAGTTACCAAGTCAGGCAGGCAGATCAGATCAAGCATACAAGTCAAGCGTATTTATACAATTATTTACAATCGATATTGTCATAGAACATTTTTAAACATTAATCAATGAGTTCATTAATTGACCTATTTGCGCATTTAATCGATAGTTCATCAATTGACTGCTATTCAAACATTTAATCGATCAGTTCATCAATTGACCCCAATACAAATATTTAAACATTTAATCAGTAGTTGATCGATGCGATAAAATTTAAAATATGAGTTTGGGGATCTATCGTCCCCAACAATCCGTAAGTATACTAGGCTAGTTCCCAATAACTCTGAAAAACCGTTTTGGAAGCGCGCTGCTGACGTTCATATAATCAGCGAGTAATTTTCATATGGCATGTGGTTTCTGTCTTACTGTCGGCATACAAAACAGGTTTCTCCTAAGTTGTTTTTTGATGTTACTGTAGAGCCCTAGTCGCTGATAACGTCTGTTATGAATAATCTAGCTACTCGGCCGTAACAAAACCATTGTATTTCGCAGTTATTCATATGTTGCTATACCTTTGGTACAAAGAATGTTATCATCCTAGGGCACTGGGGTTTCTAGGAACAGTAGCAATCTCTTCAAAGGACAGCCGACTGGTTACTGTCACTGCAGAATAGAATGACGTGACCTAGTTTTGGTACACAGTACACTAAATTTTAACAACGCTCTGTTGAAAAACACTACCGTGATCTCGAGAAAACCACCGGAAGATTGCATATCAAAGAGTGAAAACTCGGGTACTCTTACACGTTTTGTCAATAGGAGTTGTCACAACTTAGAATGAACCACCGCCTTCCACTTGAAGTAGCTGTGCTTGATACCTGTCTAGTAACCTATTTACTATCATCACTATCACATATCTTATCCTGTAGACTTTCCTCTTTGTCTTGCAGTGTTCGTTCAAACTATTTGTTTAAACCATTCAAATAATTTACATTGTTGTTGGATTTACTAGACTTAGTATTTAAATGGTATGAATTGTTACTAGTTCGTAATTTTAAGCTAACACGCCTCATAGTTGTCGCTCTGCACTGATAATTGTTGTTGATTCCATCTTTTTCCAATTGTAAGTGTATTATATGTACTCACTGAAATGTCGGCTAACTTTCATATGTTATCTTTTTCAGTTGTCTTCACACACGCTCCCACACCATTCACAGTACATTCAGGCTAGACGCGAACATTTACAAAACCTCATTATTGTGGGGTGATGGACTTTAAGCAATTTCGTGATACTGCTGAACTTTCAGACTTTGCAGTTTACATTGATAATGAGAGGTTTAAATTGCACAAATTTCCACTTTATACAAAGTCTGACTACTTCAAGGAAATAGCAAGCAGCAATCCTGTTTGTCAGATAAATGACTTTCCTGGTGGTTCGAAATCTTTTGGTGTCGTTGCTGACTTTTGTTACGGCAAAGAAATAAACATTACTTCTGAGAACGTGGTTTATTTATATGCTGCAGCCGATCTCCTCAAAATGAAAGGCAAAGATAATTTACTCGAGATTTCTAGGAGGTTTTTGGATGGAGTGTTTTGTTCTGCTTTGGAAAGAAAAGACATATTTAATCTGATATGTGTTTTATGTTCATCTTGTGAGATTAAATCGGATGTTGGTAAGAAAATTTGTGAAGACGCAACCACAATTTTAATGTCATTATGGCTACACAATGAAAATAGTTCAAAAGGTTACTTTTCGCCCCAAACCATAAATTTTACACATTCAGAACGAGAATTATTCACTGACGAGTCAGTATCTGATTACCTGGCTTATCTTCCACTGGAAATATTTTTGAAGATTATTAACATTGCAAGAGATCAGAATGTAGAAGAGAAGGTTGTTTTAAGTGCTTGTGCAAAGTACTTGGGCCGGGTTCTTGATTTCTACGACACAGAGGTCTCAGGAAACGGAGTATCTAAAACTTCAGATGCTCAGAAAAACACTGATATGAAGAACGTTCCACCTAAAGGTATTTGCATTTGCGTAACCTTCATTGTACCTAGAAGTCCCTGAATCAGATAAAAATATTATTTCTGATCAACCATTCTGTGGTTTAAATGTAAAAATAAAGTCCGACCACCAGATAAAGCTGGAAAAACTGTACAAAGATAACATCGTCCTGTTTGAGAATTTAAAAAATACTATAGAACAGTTCGAAAAGATTTTCGAAACTCTGGACAAACCAATTGATATTTGTGGTTTTATTAACACTACGTGGATTATTAAGGTGAAATTATACTTTGTAATTTTATTTTTAATAACATTCATATCTTAAAACTACTAGAAACTAAAACTGTGAATCAAAGTTGCGACAATTTTGAACAATACCTAGTCTTTTTTCACTGTTGGTAAACTATTATGAATATAATAACTTAGGGTTCAGGTCAACAGAGATAAGTAACAACTCTAACCTTATAAGAATACTGCTTGAAAATATGCAGATTTAACATAAAACAGATAAGGTAAAAGATTTTCTTTTTCAGCACGTTCGAGTAGTGTTTTGTGAAAATGAAACATTCAAAAGCTAACATTACAAGTGGGTTTCGAGTGTTTGTAGAGGATATATAATAGATTGGTGATTATTCAAGTAGTTTTAGAATAAGGGTATCTTGTTTGGGATTTGGAAGGCAATCTATGATTTCGGTGGATAATCAGTTACTACCCTGGAAAGCCGTTTTCGTATATTTTCAACTCATTGATCTCATCTTTTGCGACTAGAAATTTGCCGTATTGTCCTTGATATGCAACGATTATCCAGCTAATATCACTTGTCATTTTTGAAATGACGCTGTTTTATATTTTATGACTCACTATTTTTTTTGGTTTTTCAGGCATTACTACTGACGGATTCAAACAGAGCAAAGTCAAAGTGCCGACTGGATATTTTAAAAATAGCCAAGAAAATGCTTACTAGCTTTTCTGAGCAAGACTTCGATAAACTTTCACCTTCTATATTGAATGATATTCTCAATTCTGATAATATGCAAATAGAAAAGCCACCTCCAGATGAAGTTATCAGTCTTTCCAGGAGAAGCTCAAGGAAGAAAAGCTACAAAGAAGAGATCTTAGAAAACAATGCTACTGAAATACTTGGTAATCGTAAACAGAGCAATATCAAAGAAGCAAATATTGAAGAAGTTAATGAAAATCATGGAAACACGAATGAAACAAAACATGAAATATTACCCGAATCAGTAGCAAATAAGATAATAAAATATATGTTAAAGAAAGCCGATGAGCGAAAGCTAACAATGCAACAATACATTCAATTGCTAAAACAGATTCAAGTTCCAAATCACCAGACTTCTCTAGATAATGACTTTGTAAAAATCTTAATCAAACTTACTAAATCAGGTATACTTTAATTAAAAGTCAAAAAGATTAGGTTTAAAGTCTTCTAGTCATTGCCCTATGCTTTTATATTGTCACTTTTTCTCTTTAAGTGTTGGATAAAGACAATACTGTCCGGCGTTTTCTCATTTAGACGTGGCTTATTGCGAAACAGAACATTAAAACACCTCAGTAAATGTCTTAACTGGTTTATGGAACTGTTTAACTAGCACTTATTCAGAACTACTTATAACTGCAGCTTAAGTTATAGCTTTTCGATGTCTATACGTCTATTTGCGCCTCAGTATTTTAGAATAAGTGCTGCATAAATCAATAAGATAAACTGATGATCTATTGTTGTCTTCAAATCAGTTCAAAAGTTAGCAACATATTCGCTACGTTTTTGGGTTATTTATGATGAAAGCTTGATATGGTGAATTCTTTACTGTCACCCATCCCCTTCCGATATTAACGACCAACTAGTTTAATTAAAAGATTTCCTAAACATCTACCGTAATTTCCTACTTTTTTTCAGGTCAACCTCGTAATGAAGAAGATGCTCAAGAGATAATGACCCATATTAATTTAAACAATTGCACAGCTGATACTTTAAATGATGCATTAGAATTGGATTTGTTTCCTCCTAAGACTGTTGCTTCAGCAGCACTGTATGTTGCTAACAAAAAACAGGTATGTAAAATTTTGCCCTGTTTGGTATTGATTGGCTTTATAATTTACTGCTTTCAATGATTTATAGATTTTTATTTCCTTTAGTTTCATCATTTTTGTGTTTAAAGCATATAAGTTCCGGTGTAGTTGATGAATGCATTAAATGTACCATACAAATGAATCGATAGTATTTTAAAGAAGTGGGGAAACGTGGATAGTAAAATAAGTGAGTAACTTTCAGAATTGCCCCTGGATTCTATCCCGTCATTTCATATAACGTTTAAATCCTCTGAGTTGTACGGTCATGAGGATCCTAATTGGGGTGATTTTCATTCATAGGTGGGAGTTCTGTGCATCCCCTCTATTCCCATACTCATGAGGCTTGCCAAAATCACCGGTGTCCGTTTGATGGTTGTAAGCTCTCACTTTGCGTGTGTTTTCTACACCAGTCTCTTGCTTTAATTTTACCTTACAAGCGTAACCACTATTAATAGGAACTCAAATGGTCAATGTTTTTTCCTCTGGTACTTGAGGTTTCTGTATAAGCGCACATGAAGTGAGCTTTTCAAATGGATGATGAGAAATGAATGTGTAGTTTTTCACTACAGTACTGAATACGAGCCTCAGAAATATGGAATATGTTGATATTATGATTTTTCAAAGACAACAAAACATGTTTGTTGCCTGATTTACAACTAAATGTGAGCATTGAAGGAGGTAAATGTAATCGGCATAATTAGCCTCAGAATAGTTGTACATAGGAAGCAAGGAGAACATTTTTACATTGATGATGATCATATTTAAATACTGGTTAGTGAGATCCCATACTTTATATTCAATATACGCTCATGTATTTACACTCATAATATTTGGACAAAGGTAAATGAATAATACTCATGATTTTATTAGTAATAATAATATTGAAACACCATCATCAAGAAGATACAAGTATATATAAATAGCTGTCTACACAAGATACTCAACATCTATTGGCCGGATACCATCAGCAACACCATTCTGTTGGAGAGAACAAACCAACTACCAGCTGAAGAGGTAATTTTAAAAAGCCGTTGGAAGTGAATAGGACACACGTTGATGAAATCATCAAGCTACATCACGAGGCAAGCCTTAACTTGAAATCCTAATGGGAAACAGAAAAGAGAAAGACCAAAGAACACATTATGTCGGGAAATATAAGCAGATATGAAAAAGATGAATAACAACTGGAATGGATTGCCCATGACAGGGTTAGATGGACAGTGCTCATGAGCGGTCTATGCTCCTCCACGAGGAGTAACAGGCGTAAGGGAAAAAAATTTAAACGTTGCACTGTTAAAAATTTAAGAATTCTAAAGTGATAATATTTCTAACTGGTTAGTTAATCATTTGTCAATACCAGTAACTAAACTTCAATGTGATAAATTGAACAAAAGAATAAGAGAAACAAACATGAAAGTGAAGGTAAGAATAAATTGCATGAGAATATTATCCGATAGTTGAATTTAGACAGAGATTAAGTTCTATTGTACTATTTAATCCCTTGAAAGGCTAATTGTTAACTTCATGAGGATAGCATATAGCAAACCTACATTTTGTAAATCATTGCAACAGGATGGTCTTGAGTGCTGTTAAAGGTAGCTGACTATTTGACTGACTGACTAGAACAGATGTTGATGAACTTGTTCAAGGGTAAAACATTCTTTTTATCTCTCAGTTGACGTTTCTTATTTCAAACTACTTCTGAATCAGCTCTTCTTATGAATCGAAATTAGAATGTAGGCTAAAAGTATATGAGAGAAATTCCGACTATGACAATATCTTTCCCCCTTATCATATACCATAGTTTCATGTTTCTTTATCATAACCTCATAGTAATTTTTACTTTTGATAGGATAATCAAATCTTCAATGCATATAATGTTGAATATCCTTACACATGGTTACCTACTTATTATACAAAACCATTAATGTTACCATTACGTGGTAAACCTCAATGTACTGATCATATTCTACATAGTAATTCACATTATTCAAGATCATATTATCCTTCTTATAATAATAAATCACGTAGTTCATCATTAAATAGAAATCTACAAACAGAATATAAATATAATGGTTTCCATCCATATTTATTATCTTATTCTACTTTTCAACCATACTCAAATGAATTCAGATATAATAATAATGCCAATAATATGAAGTTCTCAGGTAGGTATTGGTGTTGTCTTTATTGAGTAACTAAGGTAACTTATGTTTTACATTTATGTATATGATCATATAAGAAATATCATTTTCACAGATTGAACTCATGAGTCAGTTGAAGCTAGACCACCAGTGAAAACCTGGAAGCACTGGATGGCCGTTTCGTCATAGTACGGGACTCCTCAGCAGTGCGCATCCACAACCCCGCACCACCCGGGGCTCGAACCCAGGACCTACTGGCTTCGCGCGCGAGCACTTAACCATTAGACCACTAGCTTCAACTGACACATGAGTTCAATCTGTGAAAATTTCTAAAAAATCTCCACAAAACACATTCTGATAATAATAATCACCTGCTCACTAGTGACTGACTTCAGGAGACACTTCTGGAGTTCTAGTGAGAAGTCGTTACCAGTGGAGTTCAACCAGGTCTGTTGTGAGATAGGAACTCACTGAAGACAATGGTGTACGGTAGCGGAATTTCGTGAATTGGTTGAAGTTAGACATTAACACCGTTGGATGCCGGCTCAGTGGTCTAATGGTTAAGTGCTCGCGCGCGAAGCCAGTAGGTCCTGGGTTCGAGCTCCGGGTGGTGCGGGGTCGTGGATGCGCACTGCTGAGGAGTCCCATACTAGGACGAAACGGCCGTCCAGTGCTTCCAGGTTTTCACTGGTGGTCTAGCTTCAACTGACTCATGAGTTCAATCTGTGAAAATTTCTAAAAAAAAATCTCCACAAAACACATTCTGATAAAAATATCATTTTAATGATTGTATATTTCTAACTATGACATTTTAGACATGAATCTAAAAAGTATTCATTAAATATGTGACAAATCAGTCAGATACAACGTAGAACTAGGAGCATATATATGCATCGGTCGAAGTTGCCATATCTCATTAGCACAACACGATGAACAACGGATTCATAAAAGTAGTTAATTCAGTGTTAGTAATATATAAAAGAAAGATTGTGTGTAAGGATAGAGTGTAGGAAGAAAGAATTGGTTCGTAGAAAGAAAGATATGAAGCGATTTTAATCTCATGGTTTAAGGGAAGACAGAGAGTGTATACACCGATGCAATTGTGATAGATTCTAAGCCATGTCACCAAGAGTCTCCAACTATTGGTTACGATAGTCAGGTGGACCCCGACCAAGTAGTTTGTATCGACCAACATGGCTCAGACTAGAAGTTAGTGACTTCAAGGAGTGATGCCACGTTTTGGTTTCAATGAATTATAGTAGAAACTAGAAATTCCAGAAATAACTCAATTTAACCAGCAAGTGTAATTTACTAAGATATGCTGAATGTTTTCGGTGATATAGTAGAAAAAGTTGCACATAAGATATTAAAGGACTCTCTAAGATCTCAGATTCCCATATTCTACAATTCTTGTTGATTAACAAGTTTGTTAACATAAATGACTTAATTCAATTTTTAGCACAACGATTACCCAGCTAAGCCTTGAGACTCGTCGATCATTCCCTGCCAATATTTATGGCGTAGGCGAGATATCCGTCTATCAACCAAAGGACGTGTTTACTGCGCAGCAGTTCGCTCCGTCCTACTTCATGACAGTGAAACATGGCCGGTAAAAGTAGAGGATAATCGTAGGTTACTAGTATTTGATCATATGTGTCTTCGAAATATTGCTCGTATATCCTGGGACCATCGAGTAAGTAATGCAGTTGTTAGGAAACGGGTACTAGGTAAGGATGGCAAATCAATTGATGACGTAGTGAAACTTCATCAGTTGAGATGGCTGGGACACGTGTTATGTATGCTCAACGACCGACTGCCTCGATGTGCGATGTTTTGTTGTATTGGAGTAGATTGGAAGAAAGGTTGGGGCGGCCAGACCAAAACATGGTACAAGTCCATGAAGTCACTGACAAGTGGACTGAGTCATGTTGGTAGGTGTAGACTACCTGGTTGGGGACCGCGAGATGATAGCAACTGATGGTTAGAGAGCCTGAATGACATGACTCAAAATCGTTTACGATGGTGTGCGCATGTGTATCCACTCTTTGTGTTCTCCCAAATTCTAATCTTCTGAATTCTTCATGTCCCTTTCTTTTTCCTCTTTCCAAATTTATTTCACTTGATTATATTCCTTGAATAACATCTTCAAACCCTAATCTTCCCGACTACTGCTTATACTTTTACTACCTCTACCACTATGGGATTTGAATCGACACTTGTATCTTTGTGCTAATGTGGTGTGACAACTCGAACTGATGTACGTACGTACGTACGGAGTTCTACGTTGTTACTGACTGACTGATATCAGACAAATGAATTGATTAATGAATAAATAATAAATATCTATTTCTGTCATGAAAAATTGAATATTATTATATTAATCAGTGAGATATTGTATTCTATCTGAAATGTTCATGTTTCCATTCTTTATAAAGTTTTTTTATTTATTTCAATCAATCAGTTAAACACTTTGTATAAATTATTTAAGAAGATAATTTAGAAACAGTTCAGTTTAGAGATAATCATAGTAACCTCGGAGTAAAGCATACTTTGCATATGATGCGCCTTTTCTTCTTCTATGTTCAAATCGTTGTGTAGAGTGAACCTGGCAATATTAATCGAGTTTACGAAACCAGTTCACTTGTACAGTCCTTGAATTGACCGTTGTTGCTACCTTGACGTGGTGGTCGGACTTGCCTATCGTGATGAACCAACCGAGCTATACTGGCTGGAACAACCGTTTTTCAAGGTCCTACCATGTCAGACAGGCCGGTTGAAGAGCGGTAAGACTAAAAGCAACAAACCCAAGGTCCGAAGGCGAAGTCGTATTGCGGACTGTACAGAGAAGTGACAGCAGTAAGGTGTTTCCTTCAGACAACCAGCATGACAGCGATGCCGCCTTCCCAAAAGGAGGGGTAGGGTTAGAAAAGGTCGACCCTAAAAATTCATACCTCGCCTTGTACCACGGATATCCATATCCGGCGGTAAGGTCTCAACAAGTACGGAGCTAACACAAAAATTACTCATAAAAAAGTCGTGTGTGACCAACCTCAAGCAGTTGTCCCTTGAGCACTGCGGTCACGCTCTCAGGTCACTAAGACCACCTCTAATCCAATTTTTTTCAGGCACCTCCAGAAGAACCCTTCCATGGTGTGGGCAACCGGTAAGTGATAACCGCCCTCATACCTCTAACAGCACTGAAGAGCACTGAGTAAAAACCTATATTATGATTGTGTGATTTTCAAATCGTATGGAGTTCTATTGAACAAACGCTTTAAATAACTTAATAATTATAATACTTAACACTGTTAATTTGAATGAAACATACTCGAAACACATAAGCATCATCATCTGACCGTAAAGTAAGACCTACTAGATAACTATTTCATTATTGTTTTTAGATTCCACAGATATGTATATTCATGATCTTCAACTATTCTCCATTGAATCTTTCTCATTGAATGACTCTTAACATTACACAACCTAAATCTTACTAAGAAACATAAACTCTGAACAAAAAATATCTAAGAATGATCTATTTTATTGGATTCTAGCTGATTTATATTTCACAAGGAGTTTTTATGGATATTATTAGTAATTTTAATAATTTTATCTATGAGTCAATTGAACCTAAACCACCATGAAAAACCTAAAAGTACTAGATAGCCGTTTCGTCCTATTGTAAGACTCTTCAACAATGTTCATCTACTATCTCGCTTGACGAAATTTAAACCCAAAACCTATCAGTCTTGCACACGAACGCTTAACCTTTAGATCACTAAACCATCCAACATCCAATAATGTTATTGTCTAACTTCAACTAATCCATTATTATCACCAATGAGTTACTATCTCACAACTGATTCGATTGAATTCTACTACTCACGTCTTCTCACTAAAATTCCAGGTAAAAAACCTCTTAGAGGCCGTCACTAGTAAATATTTGTTGATCAATCAATTTTTCTATGTACATATTTTACTGATTGAAATCATGAATCAACTGAACTTAAACCACCATGGAAAACCTGTAATCATTGGACGGCTGTTTCATCCTAGTATGGGACTCCTTCACAGTCCACATCCACGATCCCGCCCTACGCGTGGTTCGAAATTTTAAAACTACTTTTATAATCAATATTTTATTGATTATTTGTCTTTTTTTTGTTTCCTTTTTTCTTTCTATTAGATTCATTCAATAATAATTATCTGTCAAGAACTACACCGCATAATAGAAGATACTGTGAATATTCTACCTAATTATTATTATTAATAATAATAATAATAATAATAATAATAATAATAATAATAATAGAAATGAATATTTTTTTAATTTTACACAAAAAATCAATAATGAATTGAACTCAATCAAATTTAATCAATAATAGAAACGTTTATTTTGAATTTGCTTTTATTTTCCTCCTTTTTTCCTTTTTTTTTTCTTTCCTCTTTTTTTCTCTTTTCCTAATCAATATAAAATATGATTTCTTATTTTGTATATATAAAGGGGAAATTTAAATCCTCTTTCATTGAATCGAATGATACATTGTGTTTATTTATTTATTTATTTGGATTATCAAGCATGTTTTGTTTCTTTCTTTTTTTCTTTTTTTGTTTTTTCCTTTTTTTCTTTTATCAAATAGATTCTATAACGTACATTAGATTATTCTTTTTTCTTTCTTTCTTTTTTGTTGTTGTTGTTGAAAGCTTATCAGCCCTATAGAAACTTATCCATTTATTATAGTTAATTTAAACAAAGAAAATACAAATAAACAAACAAAAAAATTTATGATTATTATTTTTATTAAAAAAATGATTAAATTAAAGTTTAGTTAAATGATTAAATCTTTTTATAATGGTCAATAATAATGATTGTTTTGTATTGTACATGAATGAATGAAAGGATTCGAGCTAAGAAGGAATCATTAATTAGATAGAAAGATATTTGATGATGATGATGATAATAATAATTCAGATCATATTCATTATGAATTATCAGTGAAACTTTTAAAATCTCCACAAAAAACCCCGTTCTCATAATAGTCATCTACTTGCTAGTGACTGGCTTCATGAGGTATTTCCTGGAGTTCTAATGAGAAGCAGTGATCAGTGGAGTTCAACCAGATCTGTTGTGAGATATCAACTCACTGGTGACAATGATGTACGGTGGCTCAACTTAGTGGATTGGTGGAAGCTAGACATTAACACCGTTGGATGATGGCCGGCTCAATGGTCTACTGGTCAAGCACTGACGCGTGGGACTGCTAAGTCCTGAGTTCGAATCTTGCGGATGGCGAAGTCGTGGATGCGCACTGCTGAAGAGTCCCATAGTGGGATGAAAAGGCCGTCCAATGCTTTCAGGTTCTCCATGGTGGTATAACTTCAATTGACTCATGGCTTCAATCAGTGAAATTTCTAAAATCTCCACAAAAACCCCTTCTGATCATGTAGGAGATCGGCTTGTCAGAAGCTATCAGTAATAGTTGCTAGACCGACATACGATCTTGTGGAGTCTGATGATGCTTATATGTTTCGAGTATGTTTCATCTAGATTAACAGTGTTAAGCATTATTATTACGTTATTTGAACCTTTTGTTCAATAGAACTCTATAGGATTGAAGTATCACACAATGATAACATAGATTTTTATTACTCAGTGGTCGATTCAGGGACAAATAAATTCTTGATAATATCCCATAATGTGAAATTTTGTGGTGTGAATTCGAATCCCACATAGAGTATCTTTGTTTTAACTCTAAATAAAATGTGTTAAAGAGTAACAGCTAACACAGTAGCTGAGTTTCACGCCTCCTGTTTACTGTTTTAAATCTCAACACCAGACATAATGTATACGATGTTATTTCACTTAGACTATTAAAATTTGAGTTTAATCAGCAGTAACATCAAACAATTATGAAATTTCTATAGTTTGAATCACGTACTGATCTTAGCCAAACGATCGTTGAAAACCAGAAAGAAATGAATAGTACTTTTTTGTTTAGTATGTAACACCTCACCAATGAGCATCCTCGATCCAGTATTCAGGAATCAAACCTAAGACATTCTACAGTCTGTACAAATACCCTTATATTTAAAACCTGAAAATGGTTGCCAGTTCATATTAATGTTGCTTCATTAACAGCTTAGAATTCATCAATGTTCGACTATTCGCCATTTTCAGTTAATGCAATCTTTACAATGTCTACCTTAAGTAAATTTAATGAATCTGACTTGAATTGGATAGAGTTCGTCAGTCGGTACGTAATCTTAAAATAATAACATTATTTGTCTCTATAACATGCCATAATACATCTAAGAAATTGAACACAGTAGAATAGGATGATAATCTACATTGGAACATAATATATATTTTATAACTGTACGAATGAACTGGTTTCATAAACTGTATTATTATCGCCAGGCTCACTCTACACATTGATTTGAACATAGAAGAAAATGAGCGCAATACGCAAAGCATGCCTTACTCTGACGTCAGTTTATGTACAAGTAAATTGAGGGTATTTATAGCATTTCAGACGGCCCTCAACTTCTCGAAAGTTTCGGAACCCTCAGAAACATAATAGCAGTATAGGTAATCATCTACTCGAAAATGTGACAGGTGACATTTCATTTTCCACATGTTTCTAAGACACTTCTATCAACGTTTACTGGATAAAATATTCTCTACTGTTTCCAGGGCCTCTTTTGGTCTGTTTTGTTTTTCGAGGAATTTTCACGGTCTCCTCAACAGAATAAAATATGTTTTTAGAGATAACTCGAAATATTATACCATCCATTAACTTAAAAAAGTAACATATTTCTCAGCGAAAAACTCAGCTAGAAAATTCGGTGGGACTATAATTTATGGACGACCTTTCAGCGACGGTAAAGTGACATGGAGAGTGTCTATCTACTTACTAGAGCTAAATGAGTGTTATAAATCAGGGTGAGGAACTAGAGTTACGATTTACAGTTGATGGCTAAAATTAGGAATTAGATTTAGGCGTTTTCATCACAAACTAATATCATCTATAATGCCAAAAGACTATTCAGCCTAACGGATGAACGAATTTCGTGCCAAAATCCGAGATCTGTTATCGTATGCTTGATTGGTTCATCCAGAAATTATAGTCTCGCCGAATCTCAAAGAACCACTCAGCTAGAAAACCCATATTAAGTCGATATCAGGATCATCTGAACATGAGTAATGAATATAATACAATATATTGTAGTATCACGAACTATAGAATATGACAACATACAAGAACTTGTCATGGAATGTTTTATGCGCCATCTTCAAACGTAACTATTTTAATACAGTTATTCATTCATTTAGTTTTGTAGCATCTCGTCAATAAAACTTACTTTTCACTGTTTATCAGCAAATAATCAATTAGATTGTTCATTCACATCAACACTATTGTTCTTTTAATTGTATTCAATGATTTACAATTTCTTTTATTAAATCAATCTCATGTTTTTTTTTTCTAATAATTCACTGATGGGCATATTCAATTCTAGTCGATTGATTATGTAACATCAGGCATAGAGATAGAAATAATAATTGATTATCATCATGATAAGAAAATACAGTCTTGAAAGCTTATTGGTTAATGACTGACTTTATTTTAGTTCATTAATTTGAAATGACGTTCATTTCATATTCTAATAAATAGAAGAAATTGTATTTCTGATGTTTCGTGACTTAATCTAAGCCACCTTGATGTGAACAGAGAAACAATAAGTCATGACAAACTATGGAAACTATTTTTTTGGGGGGGGGACGTTAGTTCAGTTCATTCAAAGCTTGTAAAATATTAACATTTACTGTTGTCCCTAAATCTATTCTACAGATCATAAGCTTTCGTTTGATGTAGGATTCATTGCCATAGACCTTTTTCTTCCAAAGCTATTGTATTATTTTGTATTCTATTTCCTATTCTAATCCCCAGTTTTGGACATAATTGTATTTTCCCTGATTATTGTACGTTGTGGTTGAGTTATTCATCTATTTATTCATGTATCTCTCTTTACACTGATCTGAAATTCGGGAACCAGATCAGAATTGAGAATAAATCGAGTAGTGTTCCAGTTGACTTGTCTTTGCTCACTCGCGTGCTTGTCAGCAAATCAATCAGGTGATAGAATAATTTTCTTCTCTCTACTCCATTTCGAACTCACGAGTACTAGCCTCAAGGTTAAGCCGGTCAGCCTGTCGAGTCAAGATCTTAATATGAAGATTAGACAAGCTATCCTTAGCACCAAAAGTGGGTAGACAGATCAAGAACGTAACACGATTCTTCAGAGTAAATAAATAAACCTATAATTTCAATGGTTGAGATCATGAATCAGTTAAAGCTCACTAGTGACTGACTTTAAGAGGTGTTTCCTGGAGTTCTAGTGAGAAGCAGTGATCAGTGGAGTTCAACCAGGTCTGTTGTGAGATAGTAACTCACTGAGGATAATGGTGGATATGTCGCTCAATTTCGTGGATTGGTTGAAGTTAGACATCAACACCGTTGGATGCCAGCTCAGTAGTCTAAGGGTTAAGCGCTCGCGCACGAGACTGATAGAAGCTGCGTTCGAAACCCGCGAGACGCGGTAGTGGATGCGCACTGCTGAGGAGTCCCACAATATGACGAAACGACTGTTGAGTGCTTCCAGGTTTTCCATGGTGGTCTAGCTCCAACTGACTCATGATCTCAACTATTGAAATTACCGTAATATTCACAAAGCCCCTTATGATATTAAATAAACTTGTGTTAATTCGATTTCAGTTATTTATTTATCCTAAAGAAGTGGCTTATATTAAATCATGAGACATCAAAAATACAATTTTTCCTACTCATTAGAACAGCACAATACACAGTTTATTTGGAACTACCAAGTCCAACTATGGCATTGATACCTATAAATGCAGTTAGCATATAAATTTTATGTATTCGTGTTTTATGAATAAGGAGTATTGAATGGAGATATAAAAGAAACAATTGGCATGGCAACAGCCACATTCCTACAATTGAAGAATATATGAGACTCAAAACAATAGTCAATCAATATCAAAATCAAAATCTTCAATACGAACATCAACACATTTAGTCCTGCTGTACGAAGTAGAAACTTGAAGAACTACTACTAACATCTTTTATAGTTGATTTAAACAAAGAATCACTGAAGCCCCCAAATGCCCTGGTATGGCCGAGAGTGGGGTGGGCCCGCCATCCCTCTCGAAATACTCTCACACGGCCACGCGTATATAGCCTCTGCCAGGGAAGTCCTACTCACTGTTTTCTCGTGGCGGGGGTGTTGTTTAT